GGATCCTCCTTCCGGCCCTTCCTGTAGATGGGCGTCACATTTGCTGACCTCGAGTCAACTGGGACCTCCCCGGTTAGCCAGGACTGCTGATAGATGGTTGAAAGTGGCTTGGTGAGCACTTCCACCAGCTCCCTCAGTACCCTTGGGTGGATCCCATCCGGCCCCACAGACTTGTGTGTGTCTAAGTGCTGTAGTCACTAACCATTTCCCTTTGGATTATGGGGGCTTCATGCTACTCCCCATCCCTGTCTTCCAGTTCAGGGGGCTGGGTACCCTGAGAACAGCTGGCCTTACTATTAAAGACTGAGGCAAAGAAGGCATTACGTACCTCAGCCTTTTCCTCATCCTTTGTTTCTCCCCACATCCCATAAAGGACTGAGATAATGCTTTTAGTATCTTCTAAAGAGCAACTTCATTTGCATTAGTAACTTTGGTAACTACAATTTTGAGTTCTCTGTAAAATTGTAATTTCAGATTCATAATGACCAAAATGACCTGAATGTTTTTCAATATAAGCAGATATAGAATTTAAGATGGGTTTTGTTGTATAACTAGTTTTTCTGTCCTGTGGATTTCAGACATTATATTGATTTTGGATTTGTTCTTATTTTTCATGAGATTGTGTAAGTCTAGTAACTATGAAGGTTCATTAATTTGCAAATTTATCCATTGATTTAATAGGTAATCAGCAAGATGCGTGGTCATTTTGTCATAATGTGTTCATACTTCTTACTCATATTTTGTTAGTTAATTACATTCACCAGATCAATTTCTTTTATTCACATGTCGAGGTTTTGGATGAAAAACGGAATTTAATTAAAACGCAGAGAGACAGTTCTAAAAACAGCCTTATTATCTAGTATAACCTGATGTTAAAGTGTTTGACTCATGTCACATTAAGGTAGATTTCTAAAGTGAAGTAAGTTATAACTGTAACGAATGAACAGTTCAACCTCTAATGGTTACCATGACCCTAGGTTTTAGAGGCAATAATGCTTTTGAACTTTTTTAATGTGTCTCTGAGATGGAAAACCAAAACTGTTTTGGTTTTCCTTTTTGGTTTCACTTTTGGTTTCTCAATGTGGATTAGTTAACTGAAATTGAAAAATTAATTCTGTAACTGCAGAGGAGGCTGCAGCTGTCAGTCATCGGTCACACTGTAGTCAAGCCTGCTTCCAGGTGGTCAGGTAGCCTTCTCTAGTTCAGTACTTTTGTTTGCAAACATGCCCTATATGATAATTTTTATATACTGTTATCTACTTTGATAGTTTCTGGTAAGCTCACGTATGAAATCCATTGCAGATTTTTGCAAAAATGCTTTTTATTTACCCTAGCAATTTAATTTTCAAGTGAAGTTTCCAACAGTCTTAACTATTTGAAGAACAGTTTTCATTGATTACATGCTGTATTAAAATGCTTTCAGCTGCATATTTTGCTCGTGTGGGAAAAATGCCATTTGATCATTAATGATCTTGTGGGAGCCTTAGTGGCATCATTTCAAAGGTAGTGTACCTAGCATGACAATGTCTTTTGGGATGCAGTTGTGATACACATAGGATATTGATTGAAATATAAGATTTAAGATGGTGGTACTCCAGTTTCCCTTGTATTTTTTTCTCCTACTTAATATAGTGTCATGGAAAACCAACTAC